TGAAGAATGCAATCCCATTTACAATAGCCACATAAAAAATGAAATACCTAGGAGGATCTCTACAAGAAAAACTAAAAAACACTGCTGAAGGAAATAATAGATGACACAAACAAATGGAAAAATATTCCATGCTCATGGATAGGAAGAATCAATATCATTAAAATAGCATACTGCCCAAAGCAATCTATAGATTCAATGCTATTCCTATTGAACTGCCAAGGTCATTTTTCAAAGAATTAGAAAAAACTATTCTAAAATTCATATGGAACCAAAAAAGAGCCTCAATAGCCAAAGCAATCTTAAGCAAAAACAGCAAAGCAGAGGTATAACATTATCCAACTTTAAACTATGTTATAAGACCATAGTAACCAAAACAGCATGATACCGATACAAAAACAGACACATAGACCAATGTAACAGAGTAGATAACCCAGAAATAAAGCCACACTCCTACAGTCATCTGATCTTTGACAAAGTTGGCAAAATAAGAAATGAGGAAAAGATTCCTTATTCAATAAATGGTGCTAGGATTGCTGGCTGGCCACATGCAAAAGAATGAAACAGGACCCCTACCTTTCATCATATATAAAAATTAACTCAAGATGGATTAAAAGCTTAAATACAAGACTTTGAACTATAAGAATCCTAGAAGAAAACCTAGAAAACGCTATTCTGGGCATCAGCCTTAGGAAAGAATTTATGATTAAAATTCAAGAGCAATTGCAACAAAAACAAAAATTGACAAGTGGGATCTAATTAAATTAAAGAGTTTCTGTACAGCAAAAACAAAACAAAACAAGAACTGTCAACAGAGTAAACAGAACTATAGGATGGGAGAAAATATTCACAAACTATGCCTCCAACAAAGGTCTAATATCTAGAATCTATAAGGAACTTAACAAGCACAAAACAACCCCATTTAAAAAATGGGCAGAAGATATGAACAGACACTTCTCAAAAGACATACGAACAGCCAACAAACATGAAAACACGCTCAATATCACTAATCATCAGAGAATTGCAAGTGAAAACCACAAGGAGATACCATCCCATACCAGTCAGAATGGCTATTATTAAAAAGTTTTTTAAAAAAACAAATGCTAGTGAGGCTGCAGAGAAAGGGGAATGCTTATACACTATTGGTGGGAATGGAATTCAGTTCAGCCCCTCTGAAAAGCAGGGGTTTTTTGTCTTTCTGGTTTTCTTTTTTTGAGATGAAGTATCACTCTTGTGCCCCAGGTTGGAGTGCAATGGCGTGATCTCAGCTCACCGCAACCTCCACCTCCCCAGTTCAAGTGATTCTCCTGCCTCAGCTTCCCGAGTAGCTGGGATTACAGATGTGTACCACCATGCCCGGCTAATTTTTGTATTTTAAGTAGAGACGGGATTTCACCATGTTGGCCAGGCTGGTCTCGAACTCCTGACCTCAGGTGATCCGCCTGCCTCGGCCTCCCAAAGTGCTGGGATTACAGGCGTGAGCCACTGTGCCCGGCCAAAAGTTGAAATTATTTTTAAAAACTTAAATAAATAAATTAATGAATTACTGACATAAGAAGGCCTGCAGTGAATAAGAAAGGCATAGAGAGATAGTGTGCAAATAATTAAATAATACAACTACGAAGTTGATTAAAATAAAGATAAATTATAGTGACTGCCAGGAAGGAAATGAACAGAGTACAAAGAGTGAGAATAGCTGACAGAGGTCAGTTGAGGCAAGCTGAGAAGATATCTGAACTTGGAAGGATGAGAAGCAGGTTTTGTGAAGGGATGGGGGTGTCTCTCAGACAAAGGGATGGATAGCAGGTGTAGGGCCTGGAGGCAGGAGAGGCATGGTTTGTTAGGACCAGAGAAAAGGCCAGTGTGACTGGAATGGGAAGGTCAGAAGGAGGGAGGGAAGACTTAAAGTGGGGAAGGTAGGAGGAGCCAGGGCACGCCAGCCCATGGCAGGAAGGAAGTGGAGTATATTAACACAATGTGGAGAAGAACGTGCCAGCCTCTGGAGCTGTCCAAATGGAGTGGGCTACTTTAGCAGGCAGAGAAGCTCGCATCAGCCAAAACTCGTCTCCAAGGTTCTCAAAAGTGTGTTGCTGGAGTCTTTGGGCCTCGAGTTTGGCTTCGCTTTTATTCTTATCACATTGCATCTTGTTAGAGCCAATCCCTCCCTCCAGCCTGAGGAGCTTTTTTCAGACAAGCACCCAGTGTTCTCATCTGAAAGCCACAGATAAAAATGTTGACTAGGGCAGAGCTCTTCCCAGCTGGCAGCTAAATCTGCCCTCCAGCAGAGGTTAGAGGACATTATGAGGGACGTAAGTGAGGGATGCAGGCCTTACAGGGGAAGTGGATGACCTTACAATCTCTGCTATTTCTGACAGTTCATGAGATCTCTGGACTACATTACAAAGGACAGCACACACTATGGTGTTAGTGGAAGTTTAGGGGATCTTGTCTTCATGAAGATTCAGGATGCAGATCTGGCAAAAGAAAATTTCTTTTCTCAGTAGTTTTAAAGTAGAACCATTTTTACTACAGATGATCAATATTTCTTTTTATGCCAACAAAATACCTCTGCAAGGTTCTGGTATACATGGTGTCTTTTCAGCAATTGCTTTAGCATTTGGACCCTGGGAGATATACAAGGCCGCTCATCCACTCATCACTTGAGGAGAAAGGTGTGTGATAACCATTGTGTGCTGGGTCCTTTTTAAACCTAGAAGCAGTTTATATTTTTGCTACTATTAGAATCTTCCTATTTAAGAAAGCTGGGCTTAAAAGCTAACATTTTGAGGAGCTACTTTCCTTTAGCACTGAAGCACAGCAGGCAGAACAAATTCTTTCTGAAAACTTCAGAGCATCTAACAACAGATCAATATTTTTGCACTGTGGCCAAAGTCCAGCTCCATTTGTATTGCCACAAATCACCTAGAGCTGGAAATGTTGAGCTTTGCCGCCTTGATTCCCTAAGTGCAGACACTTATATGCTTATGATTGTTTTTAATTTACAAGATTAGGAAAATGGGATTTATCTTATAATAATGTTAATTTTCAAAGCATTTTTATTAAATTTTTAAAAATTGTTCTCCTGAAAATACAGAAAAATTCGAGAAGGAAGCTGCTAAGTGTGCCCAACAGTTCCACATCTGACCAGGACAGTGTAAACACAGCCCTGCTTCAAAGCAGACTGTCGCAGCAAGTCAGAATTCTCACTCTCTATTACAGAAGAGGCCCAACTGAAAGAAACAGCAGCCCAGGCACGGTGGCTCAAATGTGTAATTGCACCTACTAATTTTGAAAGGCCGAGGCAGGCAGATTACCTGATGTCAGGAGTTTGAGACCAGCCTAGCTAACACGGTGAAACCCCGCTACTGAAAACACAAGAATTAGCCGGGAGTGGTGGTACATGCCTGTCATCCCAGCTACTCGGGAGGCTGAGGCAAGAGAATCGATTGAACCCAGGAGCCTGAGGCTGCAGTGAGCTCAGATGGTGCCACTGCCCTCCAGCCTGGGTGACAAAGCGAGACTCTGTTTCAAATTAAATAAATAAATAAATGGGTGAATGAATGAAGCAGCAATCCTAGCAAAAGATCTTCGACAAAAGACCTTAGCATTGCCTTCTTCTCTAGTATTAGACATACCAGGTAAGAAATGAGATGCAGTTAGACCCAATTCTACCTGAGTCTATTTCTCAAAGTGTGGGCCCCAGATCACCTGCATAAGGATCATATGAGGTGGGAGGTGAGATGGTTCTTTAAGGTAAAGATTCCTGGGCTCTATCCTGACCCAGTGAATGAGAATCCCTGAGGATCGAGCCCAGGCATTTGCTTTCCTTAATAAGTTGTCCATGTGATGATTTTAGACATGCTAAAGTTTGAGAATCACTCCAGCCATAGCTGTCTCCTCTCCAGTGGGCCGCAGGCACCGCCGACACCCCAGCACACACACAAGGGGAATCTTTCTGCACTAGCAGCTTAAAGGCTTTTCTGGGATGGTCTTTTTGGTATATTTTTAGTCAAGTAATAAAAATAATGGCAAACAAGTATTTACTCTGTGCTAGTCATCATTCCAAAAGCTTCTATTTTTATATTTACTGACTCTTATAATAACTTTATAAGGCAAGTTTACTATAATCCCCATTTTATAGAAGAGTGAATAAAAGCACAGAGAGGTTAAGTCACTGGCCCAACATCACACCAGGATCAATCAGGGACTTCAGATCCACTTTTTTTTTTTTTTTTTTTTTTTTTTTTTTTTTTTTTTTTTTTTTTTTTTTTTTTTTTTTTTTTTTTTTTTTTTTTTTTTTCATTCCAGGCTGAGCCTGGTTTCAGAGTCCACACTCTTAAGCTACACCAGGCTATTGCATATCTCAGTTTCCTGTAATGTGGCCCCAATCCCCGCATCTCATTCATCTAGCAAATACCTCATCTTTGAAGACTAACAGCAGTCCTGCCTCTGTGAAGCCTCTCCTTACTCCATGAGGTAGAGAGTCTCTTTCTACTGCATGTGAGAGGGGAGATGGAGACATAGGGAAGTGGTAAAGCTAGAGAGGTAATAAGAGCCAGGCAGGTCACGGAGAATGTCTTTGAGGAAGAAAGTCAAAGCAAGGTGCCTCTTTGGGAGCTGCTGCACTAATCCAGGCAAGAATGGTGGGACCTCAATGATGGATCACTGCAGCAATGTGCCTCTTAGCCCCACCCCTGACACTGTGACATATACCACTTGTTAGCATTGTCATAAAAATCACAGTTCTGGCGGGGCACGGTGGCTCATGCCTGTAATCCCAGCACTTTGGGAGGCTGAGGCAGGCGGATCACCAGAGGTCAGGAGTTCGAGACCAGCCTGGTCAACATGGTGAAACTCTGTCTCCACTAAAAATACAAAAATCAGCGCGGCATGGTGGTGCACACCTGTAATCCAGCTACTCAGGGGGCTAAGACATGAGAATCACTTGAACCTGGGAGGTAGAGTTTGCAGTGACCGGAGATCATGCCACTGCACTCCAGCCTGGATGACAGAGCAAGACTCTGTCTCAAAAACAACAACAACAACAGCAGCAGCAACCACAGCAACCATCACAGCTCTCAGGTAAATGAAGGTAATCAAACATTATAAGACTCATTGCCATTGAATGTACCTGGCAATCAAACCGTGAACATGCATGCCAGATTTCCTAGACTTGACATAAAATTTCCCCCTATTTGCAAATCAGCACAGGTCAAAGTAAAAGGCCCAAAACAGGGGCCCGGGCCAATGTGCCAGTGACCTCCTAAGGCAGGACCGAGTCTTTCATCATTTTTCCAAATTCTCAGGATAGTGTAACAGTTGACAGATGTTTGTTGAATGAATAAATGAATTCTGTATGATCACATGACATATTCTGGTATCTCAGTAGAAACATCAGTGCTGGCCGGGGGCGGTGGCTCACGCCTATAATCTCAGCACTTTGGGAGGCCGAGGTGGGCGAATCACAAGGTCAGGAGATCGAGACCATCCTGGCTAACACGGTGAAACCCCGTCTCTACTAAAAATACAAAAAATTAGCCAGGCGTAGTGGTGGGTGCCTGTAGTCCCAGCTACTCGGGAGGCTGAGGCAGGAGAATGGCATGAACCCGGGAGGCGGAGCTTGCAGTGAGCTGAGATTGGGCCACTGCACTCCAGCCTGGGCAACAGAGCGAAACTCCATCCAAAAAAAAGAAAGAAACATCAGTGCTGGGGCAACAAGCTTCCTGTCCTTCTCAAACTTTCCCTCCCTCCAAACTAGGAGTCCTGCATTGCTATGGAGGGTCATTACCCTTCCTTCATAATTGGAGATGTACTAAGCGACATTGTAATGTCTCATATTTATGTAAAGCTTTTACCCGAGCAGATTGTAAATCCTTTTAAATGGTCTGATCCATCCCACAGTAGTGCTGGGAATTGGGCGTTATTACCATCCTCATTGTGTATGCAGAACCAGTTAGACCTGAAGGAAAGTTAATGACTTGCCCAAGGTCACCGCACGTGAGCTGCCCAGGCGACTTCAGAAGCAGGCTTCCTAACTCACAGGCTGGCCCGTTCCATCTTGTGGTCCTTCCCGCTCTCTCTGGCTCCTAAGACCATATGTGGCAGTGAACATCTGCGAGCTTTGGTCACTTATGCGTTTCCTGGTATCTGATACTCTTTCCCTCCCCACCAAGTACATTTCCAGTGTGACAATTACTCCATCAGCCACTCCAAGCAGGAGGATTTGAAAGGAGGGCAGCTATTTTCCATGAGTGCAATTATTCATGTGCACAAATAATTGTGCACATAATTGGCTAATGGAGAGTGCAATCGGCCACATGTGAGCATAATTAGCCACTTGCCCCTCATTTGGAGGGCATAATTATCAAAGCAGGCAATTTTATATCTGAGGATAAATTGTACATGCAGGAGAGAAAGACAGCTAGGAAATCCGGTCCTTGGTTACTTTTCATGTCCTTTTATTTCCAGAAAAGCATTTTAAGCTAAAGGTAACCTTCTGATTTCAATTGCCCATTTGGATCAACCATCAGACCTAGTCATGGAGAGGAGGCGAAAAAACGGAATCTAGGAAAGAATGAGCCAGGATCATGTGGACCAAGCTGAAGCCTGAATCTTCCTCGCCAGAAAAACCCCAGCAACCAATTACCCTGGACGTGACGCCGAGGCCCACCTAGTGGTCAGCCATCTGCCTAGGCAGACAATAAAGCTCAATTTTTCTCCTTCTCCATTATTGTGTATCATTTTTGCTTTAGCGGTTTTAACGTTTTCCTCACTTTGTGGTTTTATCATCTCAGAAATGCCAGTTGGCTTGGCGCAGCAAGTGATTTTGTTCGCTGCTGGAAGTGGGTCATTTAAAATGCTTTAACAATACCTTTAACTAGTCATTCATCTGGGATGTACATAGAATAATAAATCGAGAACGCATCTCTTTGTGGTTGTTCCAAGACCTGAGATGGCAGAGATTTTCCAGTGTCTGCTGTGCACCCCCCTGCATTCTGGCTTCAACAGCTCTGCAAAACTTTTCCCGCTCTCCCACTCAATCACACAAAAATACACTTGCTAACAGCAGATCCTAAAAATACATGTCACATGCAAGCACAAGGGAAATTTTTTTTAAACATGAATTGACTCTTTAGGAATATGCAGGCTGAATTTTTTTTTTTAAAAGGAACACCAAATCTCCTATTACACTATCCTTCATTTCCATCAGAGTATTATCTTCTAGGGGAGGGAAAATAGCACAGTGATTGGGGAGACAAGCTGTTTGGCGTTAGAGGGACCCGAGTTCCTGGCTCAGCTCTGGCAGTTGCCAATTGTGTGACCTTGGATAATTTACTGAAACTTTCTGACCCAATTTCCCTATCTGTAAAATGGGTTGTTCTGAAGGTCAAAGGGAATGCAGGTAAAACTTAATGCTAGGCACATTGTAAGTTAGGCTCAGGTAAGTGGGATCTATCATTAATATTAAGAGCCTCATCTTTTAATCTCTAACACACCTTATCGGTACCAGGCACTTGGCACTCTAGAGTACCCGTGTACAGCCCTAATTCTCCTCACCAAGTGGAGAGAAATGTCTTCTTACACGTCTTTATACTGCACATGGCAAGATGCCCATAGGAGGTCTTCCATAATTGGCGATAAATGATGATTCACAACATCACGTGACATCCCAGACTGACATGCGCTGACCTTGAGCACAATGTCACACTTGCTTCTATGGCTCCTGGACCTGAACTCCATCTCCACCCTTTCCTCTGTGGTCACCCTCAGAAACTGGTTGCAGGGGTGGGGGTTGGGTGGTGGGGGGTTGCCATTCTAATTTCTGTTTTCACCTCTTCAGCTTCATGACCTCCGCAGTCACCTCTATTTCAGCCACCTCAGCACAGTCATTCCCTAGACTTCATCATCCCTCAGACCTGAGACACCTCAAAATCTTGAGTTTCCTTTGACCTTGTTGATTTCACCTTCCTTACCTTCCACCTTGCCAGTGAACAAATGTGCACATCTCCTGCCAACCCTGCTTTCAGTGCCTTCACATTCATAGCTTGAAACTGGTCATGGTGGGAGTATTTGCACCACAGAAATAAGCAAATATTACAAATCAGGGCTTCCCCTCACCCCTCAGGAGAACCAACTGTTAACCATTTTCCAGGACAATACTGCATGTATTCCCATGTATTTCTATCATAACCCTAATCCCTGCACACCTAACTATTCTCCATCATCCCCTATTGATTTCATTTACCTTCCTAGTTCTCCTTCAATGTCAGCGCTTACTGTATTTAATACATGCCATACTGTTCCTCAGTCCCATGCCCTTTGATGGCCCGATGATTCTACTTTTCTACTCTCCACTTATGGGTAACCCCCGTGTCCTCTTCCTCTATCTCACTCTTTCCTCCTATTACCCATCTCTCATCAACTTCTAATCAAGTTCCCACTGCTAATATTGTGACCCTTCAGCTCCTGGTGCCTGTACAGTAGGCAATGCTTTAAATAGGATAGACTCCACTCTGTTGGTGTTTATTGTCCAGATACTCACATTATCTCTCAAAAAGAGAGAGAGAGAGAAAGGTTGTATGCAGGTCTTTTAATGGCTTGCCTATTCGGTCCCTTTTTAAACCCAGGTTTAATACTAATGTAAACCTTCAGGCGGTGAGTGACATGCGGCATTTGATGCTTCTTTTTCACTCGCTTCAAAGTGGAATTCTTTACTGTGCAACACCACACGACTCTCCTACCCTATCTCAGCCTTGAAGTGTTTACTAAAATTGATATTGCTCTTCCCTGAAAGAAGCAAGTCGTAAATATTGTCTTGTTTAAAATTAAAAATCTACAGTGAAGTGCTTACCACAAGAGGAATGTGTCTCAAGGTTGTCTCTAGTGCAACTGCAGTTGACATTCCGTGTTCCTTTACTGAATGTTCATTGAGCCCAGGCTTTGGTCGGAGGAGGCTGAGGGAAGAAGAAAGGTTAAAGAGAGACAGGAAGGAGGAAGGCATAAAATAAAATAAAAAAGAATTATCATGTAGGGCACTGCACACTAGCCTCTATGACTGCTCTGCACATGGGCTAAGAGACTGCAAGCTGATCTGAGAACCTTTGCCCCACACAATCCTCTTGGAAATTTGAGAGATTTTACACTAACATTGAGATTTCTGGCCTTTTCTGAGAAATCTTCAGTATTGGCTACACTGGGCTGCAGTTCTACACGGGAACACAGTTGGCTGGAAATGAGTAGCAGCTGTCCTTTAACACAGGCGTGCACTCCCCAGCTGGAAACCCACCCACCCGTAATTGTTTTCCACCCAGCCAGAATCATTTACTTATGTTGTCAGCTGGGCCTCTGCAGGCATTTGAGTTTGTGACTTCTACGCTGCAGGAAGCCCTGGAGCTTACCCACATTTCTAAAATTTCCCAAAGTGATGGTTTGTAGGAGACAGTGGGATCGCATGATTTTATTCATCTCTGAACTGCTGTAGTGCCTTGTACAAAGTAGATGCTCAGTTAACTAGAATGAAGTGTTCACTGAATTAGATGGGTTGAACATCTGAGCAGATATAGGTCCTAGATGGCCCTGCAGAAGCTCAAATGCAACACTGCTGCTGAGATGTGAACAGCAGAATGTCATTCACAGCATTTTAGGCTCTGAGCTCTGGGTAACGGTAGTTGAAGAGAAGTCCCATTTAGCTGTGTGTATGGGACACTGGCCTCTTGAAGGGAAAAAGTTAGAATCAGTAAATCAGGGTAACTCCTTTTACTGCAAAGATTTATTATTGGATCAAAATTTTAGTGCTTAATAAAATGACCAGAGCACTAGTCATTTCGTCTTGGTTAAGAGAGTTTGCTACTGTGGGTCTCCGTTTCCTCATTAGAAAAACAAGAGTTTGTTGGAAGAATGAACACTCTGCAGGATTCCATTCTGGTTTCCTCCAGAAGAGGGGGTTGGTAAAATCGAGTTATCTCAGCACCTTCACAGCAACTATCTTTATAATTAGGCTTGTTCATGACTTTAGAATAATTTTTAAAAATTTCTAAATTCCAACTAAAATAATCAGCTTGGCTCTTCTGATGTAGAAAGCAGTGGGAGATTTCAAGAATGTTAGTTTCTCACCCTCTTGACTTGTTCTTTAGAACACCTGGCTTGAGTGAGTTAGGGCTCTGTGAGATTGTTCGTCTTCCTGAGCCATTTCCTTCAGCCTAGGCATCGTAGAAGTGCAAGTCCTGTGTGGAGATTAATGAAGACCTGTGTGACCACGCCTTCAAAGCATCTGCCTGCTCTCTAAGTCATGCACTGGCTAATTAGAGCGGAACAAAATGGATGCCTTTCCTTTTTGGTTGAAAATTAAAAACCAAGAAACTGTTTCTCTTTCTTTTGATGTGACCTGACACCACTGTGCATATGAAGCATCTCCTCTATTGAAATGAAGGATAAAGAAAATACCAAGGTGCTAATTGAATTCATGTCTCCTCCTCTCCCAGAAGCCAGAAAAACAGAACTAACAAAGCAGTTTCAGTTCTTAGAATCTAAATAACCCAAATGGGCCCCTTCTCAGATGAAAATCTTTTGAAAACATCTGCAACTGTTGCCAATCAGATCTGATTTTGTATACAGATTCGGTGTATTGTTCTGTACAAACTGTTTCTAGGGAGACAATTCCTTAAAAAAGAAGCAAGAATATTATTTTAGCAAATAATTTGTTTATCACAAAGCCAGAGACATAAAATCTGTGAGGGCTTAATTAAAAATTGCTGGAAGCTCTCATGTCAAGTAAAAATAAATGAACAAAAATGAATTTCTTAAATGAAGATAGGTACAACTCATTTAGACAATTTCAAAGCTTTTGCTTTTGTTGTTACAGAGTCTTGCTCTGTCGCCAGGCTGGAGTGCAGTGACACCATCTCGGGTCACTGCAACCTCCACCTCCCAGGTTCAAGCAATTCTCCTGCCTCAACTTCCTGAGTAGTTGGGACTACAGGTGCATGCCACCACACCTGGCTAATTTTTGTATTTTTAGTAGAGACAGGGTTTCACCATGTTGGCCAGATTGGTCTTGAACTCCTGACCTCAGGTGATCCGCCCACCTCGGCCTCCCAAAGTGTTGGAATTACAGGTGTGAGCCACTGCGCCCGGCCCATTTCAAAGCTCTTGAATAATTTAAGTGTATTACTTTTTAAAACTTTATTAAATCATTGTAATAAATAACTCTTAAATCTTCAATAGCAGGTACTACTTGTGGAATCCTTATTTCATATCAGACAATATCCTCAACACTTTTCATAGGTTTATTCCTCCTTGAAACCATCATTATTCCATCTTACGTATGCAGAAAGAGAGCTGAGAGAGACTAAGTACATTTAAGTCCATTCAGTAAGCGGCAGCATTGGGATTTGACTCCATCAAAGTCTGTCAAATATCAGACAGATTTAAGGCCCATGTTGTCTCTTTAAATAATAAAAACATTCAAGATTATGAATTCGACAGTAAGTACAGCTTTGACCACATCCCATTCATTAAGAAATTCACTGTTCTTGTTATTTTCCTACTTATTATAGTTTTTATTTCTATCTATTCAGACATATCTCTTGAGAGCTTAAATTTTTTAAATGTGTGGCTATAAGTTGTTATGTATAAAGTTATTATCATTTTTGTTTATCAATATGTGTCTTGACTATTTCCTTCTACTTCTGAATATTTCCTGTCAAAAATCTGTTCGTCCTTGTTT